TGCCGATGGTCCATGACTCCCGTCGCACTCCCTACACAAGACATGAACTGCAAACATAAATGAAAATGAAATATCGAAATAGTACAAAAATCGCCTTAATGATGAACTTAACTTCGGAAATTGCTGAACTGTCACCAACCATATAAAAATATTAAACCGTAGACCGTGGACAAAATTCGCTACGCAAAATCATCGAAAAAATAATATGCTCCATTCTGAATTCTCGTTCGTTCAACCAGTTATTTTACAAAAATCTCACTCCCCCACTCTATCGGGCAGACGTGCACTAATCGCTCTTATCCCCTCCATCTACACTCCCTTCACCAGATGGACCTTCACCAGATGGATTCAGATCGAGAAGTGCAGCTTCAGCATTCAGTCGAACACTGGAAGGAATGACAAGTCTTGTTGTGAATGGTCTTGTACCACCGGACCGGTCTCTCCCAACCAAAAGCGATCGAGTCAGCATCCTGCCATTGTGTCTGGTCAGTCATTTTCCATCGTTTTTCCCATGTGTTCTCATACAGTTGTTCGAGCGACTTTGCTCTCCCAGTCGGCACCCAATATTCCACTAGCACTTGATTATAATTTTGCGAATTACAATCAACAACCACCCGAGAAAGAGCTTTGCCCACCCAGATTGGCACACCGCTGGACAGATCATCATCAGAGGGGCGAAGGATAAGAAAAGTGCCCACGTCGACATGCACGAGGGGGTCGAAACTAGTCTTCGGACGATTTTTTTCTTCGTCCAACAAACAGCGGTTTCCTGTCATCGTCGATGTTGACACTGCGAGGAGAAGGTTGTTGATCGATTTCGAGCAGCCATGGTCGTGGCCAAAAACTTCCCTGGGGTTGTGAGGACCAGCATAGCTTTCATCGGGGTTTTGATTGAACCAAAAAATCGGACCTTCCTCGGGCAACCATTCTTCGTCATCGCAAAACTCCTTGTACAACATGCCCGGACTATCTCCAACCATCAAAAATTTAAGCAAGTGCGGTTTTGAAATACCGGTAATGTCTGATGCAACGCACGGGTCCACTATACTAATCCAATCTTCCATCGTATCGAGGAAAATACATTTGGAAGGCTTTTTGTGGGATTGCTCTATGAGCTCGAAGAACTTGTCCATAGTATAAGCGTCTACGTCTTTCAATTTCTTCGAGAAAACGCTGAAAGTAGCGTCAATGTCTGTATGGGTGTGTCCCACCAGCATGAAATCTATTTCTACCTCTTCAAAAACTTTGAACTTAACCAACAGTGCAGCCAGGGCACATATGTACTTGTTCTTGTTTTCCCGCCAACAATTATCTGCTTGAATGCGCAAAAATCGTGGCAGTGGCGTCCCGCTCCCTTGAATTTCGACAATGGTTCTCACAACACAAGTAGCGACCGTGTTGGAATCGTGTTTGAAATACGGAAACCACGTGTACACATATATACTAGGGTCTCTTCCGTGTGCAATGACGCTTGTCAGATTAGTCTTCATCATCATCTCGTGCCTAAGTGCTTTCGAGTAGTTCGCTTGACCAATATGGAGGATAGTTCTTTTCTTCTGATCCATGCCGTCAATGATGAGACACAAACGCTCGTTCGGACGAACCATGGAATCAGTTTTCGCTCGACTGTAGTCCAATCTGTGTTCAACTTACCTCCTTTGGTGTGCTTTCATATCCTCTCGAGCACGTTCTCGATCTCAAGGAAGAGCAACATATTGTATACGTTCCTTCAGTTCATGACAGACGGCGCACTTCGTGAAACGTGGAAAAAATGTTTCCGCCACAACTTATAAAAGTTGGACTCAGACACGACATCGAGGCCAGCGGCCAGAAAGTCGGATTTGATGGACTCATAAATTGATCTCTTCGTGAAAGCAGCCAGGAGTCGAAGCTTCGGTCTGGAAACCCCACCTTGGTTAGCCACCTCATTCGGCATGCTATCTACATGACACTCAATGAACGTTCCCATGCTGGCAAGCATGGCGACCGTTTTATTGGTTGGCCTATATTTTTCCGTCAGGCCATGCTCGGAATGCACGTAGCCATTGTCGAAACACTTTTTGTAGCTGTAAAATGTATTACGCGAGACACCTAGTACATTGCAGTACGCCCTGATGCACATTGAACGTTCCAACTCCATAGGGCGGACACGTTTCTGTCCACACTCATTTACTGTGAAATCCTTAATACTTTTCATCCACCACTCAGCTCGCTCTCCCGGACTCTTATTGTACAGTCCTTGTCTAACCTTTCGCACTTCCTCAGGCGACACGTCGTAACAACATCGAGCCTTGCAACATGCCATGCCGAGCACCATGAGCAGTCTTTTTTTGGACAGCGTGTTTCTCGCTTTTTTTTACTGCTCTATTATACTGCTCTTTCCTCCTAGCGTTCCTATTAGCCATGCTATACCTTCGTCTTTCGCTTGGCAGAGGTGCGGGCAAAATCTGCAGTATCGCCCTTCTCTCTGCATCACCCCTGCGAGACGATCCTGACCCAGACTGGCTCTGGCTTGGAATCGCATCATCACTTCGCATATGCGTTGGACTCGCCCGTGCTGTGGAAAACTCCTCCGAAGAATAGTTGGTGGCAACCAACTTCGTAGTACTGGAGCTAGCACGAAGCAAAGGTCCACAGGAATAGGACCGTTGTCCAGACGAGTAATCAGTGGCCACCAACCGCTCACTCTCGTCATCAGATGATGCGTAAGAAACACCCATTGGCACGCAACTGCTGTGCGTCGAAGCTGTGGGGTGCACCTCGCCAGGATTGTGGAACTCTATCCGGGAGGTAGACGGTTCTTTGCCCGCGGACGTTGTTGCCAATTCTGAAGGCAGTTGGATGCAACCTCCAAAGCTCTCACGAAAAGCGAGATTTTGTTTTCTGGGGAAATCCGCAACTGACTGTTGGAACGGCGAACTGTCCGAAGAGGTCGTCGGGGCCAACTCCAGGTGTTGTAGCTGGCAATGCAAGTTGACGGCTTGTTCAGTTTCCATATCCCGGTTCATGCGGCCGTTCGCCGAGCCTTCTTCGGCGCCGTCATGCAACCGTTGGTGCAGCGGATGCGATTCCCGTCATCGCAATGGATTATTCTCTCTTGTGCGGGTTGAACGGGTCGTTCGAATTCGTGTCCACACCCTGCAAAACAGCGGAGCAAACTGTAAGCATGGTCAGATTTACACATTGAGGGCTTCAAGTTCGTCGGGATCCAAATTCGGCGAGTGCAGGAGCAACAAGGAACCTGTTTTCGCGCGGCTTGTGTCAGTGGAAGGTAGCGCCAGTGGGTGCACACAAGGAACGCTATGTTTGGGCGAACAGAAGGAAGGCTCTTCTGTCGGTGAACGATAGCACGCGCAAAACAAAGGATAGTGGTGGATGCACCACCACACAATTCGGCGCAGCGCGACCCCAAATTGACCCCTATAAACACCGATTCTCACCATCGTCTAAGCGAGCTCGTGCGATGTTACATTCGCTGACACTAATGCAATAGCCATCGAACACGGACATCTCCACTGCGCAGACAAGAAAAATGTTGAAAAGGATGAAAGACCCCCCCCTTAAGCCCTTCCAAACATTGATTCGGCCAGTCGAGAAGGCGACCCCCGATTTGCGCCCCGGGAAGGTCGACGTGCGACAGCGCGAACCGGACAGCACCGTGAAACACAAGCATGTGTGCGTCAAGACTCCACACACCGCGACGGTCAAAAGCCTTGGGGGGAAAAAAAGATCGTGGGTGCGAAAAATTGCTCGCCTTCTGAAATACCCTTGAAGGGGTTTATGGGGGTTGCCGACGGTGACAACGGTCGTGTCCCTTATTTTCGGCAACCCCCATGAAGCCCTTCAAGGGCATTTCAGAGGGCGAGCAATTTCTCGCACCCGCAGTCCTCTCGCAATCAACTCACACTCGAAGCTCCAGGCGCCATGCGAAGGACGGAGAGATTTGCGCCGATCCTCAAAGTCCGCCAGGATCCGAACTTGGCAGATTTGCCTGCAGCGAGTAACAGGTTTTCGAGCGGCTGCAGGTATTGGAACGGGTGGATGGCATTTGCACAGAAGCAGGCGATGCTCGGCCGCACCACAATTCGGGGCGGTGATGACCGAAGATTTACGACACAACGGAAATGGACCCGGCCAGTGACACCGTCGTCAACCCCAATAAACCCTTTTCAGGGCAACTCACAAGGCGAGCACGTTTCCGCACTACCAGGCTGCCGGCATTGAAGACGGACTGGGCAGTCTAAGCTGTTGAAAACAACAGTCAGATTTACGGGGAGTCTCTAAGTTCGCCGGGATCCGAATCTGGCGGGTGCAGGAGTAGCAAGGAACGCTATGTTTGGGAGCGGCTTGTGTCAGTGGAAGGTAGCGCCAGTGGGTGCACACAAGGAACGCTATGTCTGGGCGAACAGAAGGAAGGCTCTGTTGTCGATGAACGATAGCACTCACAAAACAAAGGGTAGTGGTGGATGCACTACCACACAATTCGACGAAGCGCGACCCCAAACTGACCCCTATAGACTTGATTCTCACCATCGTCTAAGCGAGCTCGTGCAGTTTTCCATTTACAGGTACTAGCGCAAGAGCTTATCGAACTCGGACATCCCCACTGCGTAGACAAGGGAAATGTAGAAAAGAATGAAAGATCCCTTCAACCCTTCCAAACATTGATTTGGCCAGTCGAGAAGGCAACACTCGATTCTGCGACAAGACTCCGCACACCGCGACGGTCAAAAACCTTGGGGGGCAACAAAGATCGTGGGCGCGAAAAATTGCTCGCCTTCATAAATGCCCTCGAAGGGGTTAATGGGGGTTGCCGACAGTGACAACGGCCGTGTCCCTTATTTTCGGCAACCCCCATGAACCCCTTGAAGGGCATTTCAGAGGGCGAGCAATTTCTCGCACCCACAGTCCTCTCGCAATCAACTCACACTCGAAGCTCTAGGCGCCACACAAAAGACGGATAGATTCGCGTCGATCCTCAAAGTCCGCCTAGATCCGAACTTGGTGGATTCGCCTGCATTTGTAACGGGTGGATGGCGTTTGCACAGAAGCAGGCGATGCTCGGGCGCACTGCATTTTGGGGCGCCGATGAACGAAGATCCACGACACCGAAAATGGACCCGGCCAGCGACACCGTCGTCAACCCCAATAAACCCCTTTCAGGGCAACTCACAAGGCGAGCAATTTTGCGCACTACCAGACCGCTGACATTGAAGACGGACGGAGAAGTCCAAGCCGTTGAAAACAACGGGCAGATTCAGGCGGAGCCTCGAAGTCCTCCGGGATCCGAATTTCGCCGGTGCTGGAGTAGCAAGGAACCTGTTTTTGCGCGACCGGTGTCAGTGGAACGGAGCGCCAGCGGGTGCACACAAGGAGTGCTATGCTTGGCCGCACAGAAGGAAGGCTCTGCCGCTCTCACGTTGTCGTTGTACGATAGCACGCGCAGAGCAAAGTGCAGCGGTGGATGCACCACTACAAAATCGGGCGCAGCGCGACCCCAAACTGACCTGTAGTGCAAGAGTTCATCGACCTCGGACATCTCTACCGCGCAGACAAGAAAAATGTAGAAATTGATAAAAGACACCTGCTGCAACCCTTCCAAACCCCGATTTGGCCAGTCGACAAGGCGACCCCCGATTCGCGCGCCGGTAACGTCGACGTGCGAAAGCGCGAACCGGAAACCACGCAGAAACACGAGCATGTCTACGACAAGAATCCGCGCACTGGGACAGTCAAGACCCTCTGGGGGCAACAAAGATCGACGGCACACCGACAAGGGACACGACCGCTATCATCGTTGGCAACCCCCACAAACCCCTCGAAGGGCATCTCAGAAGGTGAGCAATTTTTCGCACCCACAGTCCTCGCGCAATCAACTCACACTTGAAGCTCCAGGCCTCATGCGAGCACTTTTGCGTGCCCGGAGGCCTCTGATAATCAGAACACACTCGACAGTCGTGGCCGTTGAAAAGGGCGGTTAAATTTACGCGGGACCTCAAAGTCCGCCGGGATCCGAACTTGGCGCTTGCTGGACTGGCTAGTAACCGGTTTGCACGGGGGACGACGAATATTTGGATGACCGGTGTGGAATTGCACAGAAGGAACGCTAGGCTTGGCTGCATGGCCAGGGAGGCCCTGATGCTGCTCACAAGTGGTTTTTCCGAAAGAGCACGCACAACAGAAATGGTCGTTGCAATTGCACCACGTCGGAAATTGGCGCAGCGCGGCCCCCAATAGACCCCCATGGACCCCGATTCTCCTCATCGACAAAGCGAGCACTTGCGGTGATCCAGTCGCAAATGTTGCCATCCTTGATGACAATGACTGCAAGCAAAAAAAAAAAAATGACCACGGCTGGKGGACCCCCGATTAGTACCGCAGACAAGGCGAGCTCGCACTTGGGCAATGGCAGGTTCCACAGCCAGGATCATGGGACCACGAACGAGTGCCAACCACGAAGTCCGCCCGGATCCGAACTTCAGATCGGTTGCCACGTTCGACCGCGAGCATTAAACACTTCGTTTTTGCTGGGGTCCCATTGATAGGACTGTCTTTTTGCGGCAACGCCACCGAAAGAACAGTCATGCAAACCGTAAGCGTCTTATTTCTGCGACGCAGTCGAAACAACAATAATCATCCGAGCAGCTCGCGACTTCGCATGCTTCAGATTGCAAGTCCGCCGGGATCACGCTGACAATTGGCATGGCGTTATGAACTATCGACCCCACGCCCGAAAGCTGGAAACAGTGTCCCGCAAAACGTAGTCATCAGGGCAACCCGGGATGGCATTGTAACTGCGAACACGAAACCAACAACTGCCAAACAAAAAACGTGGAGTCGCATGTGAAAGCCTGTCGAAATGGGAACTTCGGATCCCGGCGAACTACAGCAATCATGCACTATTTTCGTACCTGCCCGTGTACTCCCTGCGGCCGCGCAACGGCAACAGATTGCCGCTTTCACGAGAGGACTGCGCATGATTGCTGTAGTTCGCCGGGATCCGAACTTCACATCTCGCCAGGCAACCACAAGCCACGCGCTGTTTTTTGTTTGGCTGTTGTTGGTTTCGCGCTTGCATTGACAATGGCGACCCCCCTTGCCCCGATGACTGAGACGTTTCCCAGAGGCGGCCGGGTTGTTCGTTATTGAACGAGGCCATGTTTTCGTGTCGAGGTTGTCGTCACGAAACATGCGGCGCTCACGCCGAAGAAACGCCATCGTCATTGCAGCGAGCAGTGCAGGCATTCTCCCTCGCGCGCATGCAACGTGTGGATTCTTCGTTCTGGAGCCCGCGGATGTTACGTGCACAGTCCTGGCATTTGTCGTACGGAATGCGATATCGCATCCCTCACGACCAGCGCCAGGAGCGCGCGATCAACATCCATGGCCTCTATGGTGGATGATGTGCACGTTGTGTGCGCGGGATGGAGACGACAACAACTCTCCCGGGATTGACGCCATAGTCTCTTCGGGGAGGGAGGCTCAAGTGTTGTGGCGAGAACACGAACACGGAACGACGACCCCCTCCTATTTATGAATACCATACCTCTCACTGCACGCCACGTGGAGGCGGACATCCTTCCCACCGTGGCCACCGCGAGACGCTTAATACCAACAGTGGTCGCGCGCAGCCCATGTGGCATCCGCTTGTCGCTCGCCACCACCGCCGCGACTACTGTCCGTCCATGCTGGCACAGTTGGCCCCACGATGGACTCGAACCATCAGTCGTGGATTTGCAGTCCAATGCGTCTCCTTTGTGATAACCAACCTCTAATCTCTTTGATGAGAACAACAAACGTGCGAGGGATGTGTTTCGAAGGGGTTTCGTTTTCTACTGGGAATAGGCGATTTCGTGTTTGCCTCGACCGCGAGGGAGTGGTTTGCATGTTCAGCTTGTGATCAACGACCCTTTTTCTTCAATGCCAAGCCAAACAAGAATCGTGGGGGCGGTCGCGTGGAACGAATGAGAGAGAAGCAGAACGGGACACGTAAACCGTGTGCCCCGATGTCCACGTCAGTCGTTCCCGCCGTCCCAGCCACTTGCGACACGTGGCACGACATGATGATAATGATGACGACGGTGATGAACACGATGATGGTGACGATTACGGTGGTGATGTTGATCTGGACGACGATGTCGCTGATGATGATGACGATGTTGACGACGATGATGATGTTGATGATGATGTTGGTGATGATGATGATGATGATAATGACGATGATGATGATGACGACGATGATGACGATGCTGATGATGACGATGACAACGAAGATGACGATGGTGGTGATTTTGATGACGGCGACGATGTCGCTGATCATGATGATGTTGTTGATGACGTTGATGATGTTGATGATGATGTTGATGATGATGTTGATGATGATGTTGATGATAATGACGATGACATCGACGATGTTGATGATGATGTTGTTGATGATGATGATGATGTTGATGAAGATGATGATGATCACGATGACAATGATGGCGATGATGATGATGATGATGATGAAGATGATGACGATGATGATGGTGGCGACGATGATGGTGATGATGGAGGCGATGATGATTATGATGATGATGGCAAGCAAGAATCAGAAGGGCCGCTCGCGAGGAAAAAACGAGCGGGAATCAGAAGGGGACACAGAAACCATGTGGCCCAATGTCACCGACATCCTTTCCCTCCGTCCCCGCAACTTGAAACAGCTGGCGCGACGCGGCCGCTCCCATGGGCCGGCAAACATGCCTGACGCCCGACATGTGGGCATGCAGAACAACACTTTACCTTGAAGAGGGCACAAAACACACGACGACGCAGCTCTTTGATGGGTCACAGTTCTTCGACGAGGCGCAGTTCTTCGACGACGGCGAAGCGCACACGATGGCGCAACTGCTCGACAAGGGAGGACAAACAGCGGAGCAGAAAAGGCGATGGAGGATGTCGCTGACGGGACGTCGTGCGCGAATGCACTCGTCGGGCTCGAGATGTGAAAGGGCTGCCCCAAACCCGAGGCAGCTGAGCCTCAGACTGTCGTCGCACCCCATGGAAAGACCCGCCCGTGTACCCCCGCACGGCCACAGACCCCGGTCGCCAGCCAGGAGACGTGAATGGCCGCGAATCCCTCCAACCTCCCCTTTCCCCCAGGCCCCATGCCCCCTCCCCCCTCCCGCGGTTCTCCCCCCTCACCCTTTGGAAAGCACAAACTGCCCCCCCGCGACACCTGAGACCTCCTCCACTGGGGCCCGCGAACCCGAAGACACGAACACGACGGGCCCTGAACAAGGGCCCGTTTTCCAATGACGTCTGGGAAGGGCTAGCCCGCAGGGACGTTTTTGTCACATTTCGACGCACCAGGCCCCCCTCACGTCAATTTCGACGTGCAGCCACCATTTGATGCCCGGATCGAACAGTCGCGCGTCGGCGCGCGGACCCTGCACGGAAATCCGAAAAGGAAGGTCCGAGGGGGCCTTGTGTTCGGCGCTCCTACGAATACGAGCGGCGCCCTGGGCATTGACGATGCGTTCTGCGTTTTTGCTGGGGAGATGCTGCCCAACGGAAGCCACGCACCGCCACTGTCCTCAACAACTGGCGCGCCATAGCTGGCACAGCCATTCTTCACCGCGCACGTTTCGTGCCACCGACGCACCCCACATGCCCTCGCATGTTCCCCCGCCTACCAAGTCCTTGTCCACGTCATATTCGACGTCGCTTCCGATCTCCTTTCTCGAAAGGCGTGCCCGCCACCCCACGCAGCACCCAAGCAAACGCGAAGTGCACGCCCAAAGGTGGACAGAGTGCCGTCACGATAAACGCCGGGGTTCGCGCTCATCTTCACTAGGCAGTTCCACATGGTGAGTGCGCACGCAGCCGGGACGTATGTGTGCATGTGCGCGCGAGCGGGGGAGGTTTTTTGTGATGATATGCTCGCGCTGATCGAAAGATTTCGCGGCTGCATGTGTGCGGGTGGGCGTGTGTGTGTGTGTGTGTGTAGGACGGTCCTTTTCTTCAAGAAATTTTCCCATCAAATGACCATCTGCATCGTTGCAACAAATTGATGTTCGACTTCTGTTAACAAACTGCACTGACACTACTGTGAGAAAATCTGCAAAGAAAACAACAATGAAAAAGGAAAGAAAAGAAAAACACAGGCAAAGGCCAAAGAAGAAACACTTGCTGTCATGAAAGAAGCTTCTGAAAAAAAGTCGAACGCATGTCTCA